TTATAAGCAACACAGAGCATATAAACTATATATATATATATATATATATATATATATATATATATATATATATATATATATACATATATATATGTTAAGATATGGCACCTATCTTTGCTCTTTTCGCTCCCCCTACACAGAAATGCGCCTCTGCCCACCCCCTTCCTTTAAGACACATTCATTAGTATTATAGGATTCATGTTAAATATAACATTGTGAAAACAAAAAATTAAGGAAATTCCCATTGTTGCACTAAAACGTACAAGTGCGCTACAAGCCAAGTCTATAATAACGTTGCAGAATTTTTGAGCCACGAATATAGGCTAACACAAAATTTCAAAATTAAGAACGACCTTAAGAAAGTAATTAAAGGTATTCATACATTATGAAATAATCTTGCTAGTAAATGTAGTTTATCCGTTTAAACTGTCAATCTAACGGTTGTGGCATTGTATATTGTAAGGAAACAAAGAATTATCTAAATATAGTCTATCATTTTCCAGATCATTAGACTTAGAGTTAGATTAGAAGACTCTTACTTAGTGCAGGTTAATGGACATTACCGAGATGGAATCCTTCCATCATTATTGTTGACACGGATTTTTTAAAAAATCGTGTTTTTTTTTGTTGTTTTTTTAATAATTAACGCGACCGAAAAATAATCATAAAAAATAAACACTTAAGCCTGAAAATAATTCAGAAATTAAATATTTATACAATCAATGTTATAAAAGTTTTCTATTTGTTTTCACCAAGCCTAAGTCATAACATGAAGTTTTATTATCGCAAGGCAAACATTGATTGACGGTACAGGAACTCCTGATCGAGATTCTGACTGCCTTAATAGCAGAGAAAACTAGTAAAAATAAGAGCAAATTACATAAAAAACGAGATACTTTGCTGAATTTATTTTATTACATTCAACTATTTTTAACCAGTTCGACTAAATTCTACTATGTTCTACCACATTCTATTACATTTTACTAAAGTCTATTACATTCTACTTTACTTTTACCTCTTTCACCCTATGTCACTGCACTTTATTCCTATATACACTGTTTTACTCCATGTGTTGTGTGATGTAGTGTGTGCTGTTTGTGTGGGCAGTGGTATGCATGGCATGGGATGAGTTCTTGGATGTGGAGGGCGGGCGTAGTAAGGTGAGGTGTGTGGGTACAATGTGGTAGACAATTAAATGTGGAATCGTAGGGTGTTTTAAGATGTAGTGTATGGGGTGGGATGTGTTTTTGTGTGGATCGGTGTTAATCGAGGTACATGGCGAGGTATTTCGGTTATTGCTGGTGGTATGTGGTTTGGCTTGGTACGGTGTGTGGTTCGTGGTGTCATGCAAGTTGTGATGAGGTTTGATATTTACCCTTTTGTTATTCGCTTCTCCTATCTCATTTTTTTATGTGAAATTCAAATTTATTTTATAAATGAAAACAAAATTATATAGCTTTGGGGTGTTTTTTTTGCAAATGTTTATGTTCTCCTAAAGATACCATTTAAATTTCACACCGTAGTAAAGCACGGGTATGCAGCTCGAATCTATAAAACCTTCTTTTTCACCCACAGTTGTTGCATCTCCGAATCCCCGACAAACTTTCAAATGTGTCTCGAAATTATCCTACAGTTACCTCTACTGCTGTATCAGCACTACTACTGGTTGTATTACAAGGCACCAGTTCCTTTAGTTCTAGAACTTCTCCACCAGAACAACTGCGGTGTTTCTAACTACAACGTTTCCCAGCTAATTATCAACGGCGTTGACGCTCCTAGGAACGCTTGGCCATGGCAGGTGTTTGTGTGGTCAAAGGGAACTATGTGCGGAGGGTCTATCATTGACCGAGAATGGATCTTGACAGCAGGGCATTGTTTGACTGGTGAAGACACATACGTGTTTTTGGGTGAGGTAGATTTTAAACATTTTAAAACCCCCTATCGAAATGTATCAAAACAACTTCTGCATGCAAAATACGACGACAATCCCTCAGAATATGATATTGGTCTTCTAAAGCTTAAAACACCGATCGAGTTCTCAGACACCATCCGACCAGTCTGCTTGCCAGAAGGCAACATCTGGGACGCCTCGCCCTGTTTTGTCACTGGCTACGGACGAATGACCACAAACGATTCCGCGCCGGACGAAATGAAGTACCCAACAAAACTTCAGCAGCTTCGCGTGGATATCATGAACCAAAGTTTGTGTAAGGTAATTACCCGGATGTTTGACCCGCCATATAGCCATAACACTGTGTGTATCGATACCCCTCAGAAGTCTGGCGTTTACTCGGGGGACTCTGGCGGACCACTGAGCTGCTTCAAAAACGGAAGATTTTACGTTGTGGGTTTGGCCCGTTCTGCGCCCTTGCCCGTAGGCATTTATGAAAGTTTTTTTCCTCCGATCTACATGTCCGTTCCTCATTTCATGGATTGGATTGGAAATTTCGTCAACTTCAAGGCTAAATAAATAAAATGTTCCCCCGGTCTTATAAGTTGTAGATGTAGTTCATTATTTTTCGTTATTTTCAATTAGTTCAGTTAAATGCAGTGGAGTAAAGGAACACATTTGGAAAAAGATATATAGAGTAACCAAATCAGTTAATTCGTTTGACTTAATAAATACAGAAACATTTTAACAATTATTTAATGTGTCAATTAATTATATTTATAAATTAATTAACATATATGTGTGTGTCTGTGTTTTTGTGTGTCTGTTTTTCTGTGTCTGTGTGTCTGTAAACACGATAACTTGAGTACCGTTTATGTTGTGTTGACGAAATTGCATATATATGTATTATATCAATTTTGTGGTTATGTATCAACTTCTGGACGATTTCTGGTAACCGGAAGTAGTACATACACTTCTTGTATCTCAAAAGCCAATAACTTGATTAATGCTTCAGTTAAGTACACGAAATTTCACATATATGTAAAATATTTTATTCTTTGGGTTCTGTCGAATTTTGAGTGATTTCCAGTGACTGGGAGTAGTATTTTAAGCTATTTCTGATTTATCTAAAAATCATAAGGATTTAAGCAACTACCGAGTGTTCATCATGGGCGTAAACTTGCGAGCACTTTTACCAGACTGATTAATTTCAAAACGTTTTCGTAGGTCATGACTCGAAGACAACGTATAGTGAAATAAAATAATGGTTTAAAAACAAAAGGAAAAAAGAAATATTATACAAAATTATACAAGAGCGTGCGATCGTGTCTATAGAATACAGATAATCCAACCGCAGCTACAGTACTCTTTTAACAAAACAACCGTCAAGTCAAAAATGAAAGAGAAAATTAAGTTTTTTAACTAAAAAAATTGATTATGGTCGGCTGTGGGCCCCTCATTTTTTAATGTGTTTAGTGTAAAGTATATAAGCAGCATATTCAATTTATTCAATTTATTCAATTTATTCGATTTATTCAATTTATTCAATTTATTCAATTTATTCAATTTATTCAATTTATTCAATTTATTCAATTTATTCAATTTATTCAATTTATTCAATTTATTCAATTTATTCAATTTATTCAATTTATTCAATTTATTCAATTTATTCAATTTATTCAATTTATTCAATTTATTCAATTTATTCAATTTATTCAATTTATTCAATTTATTCAATTTATTCAATTTATTCAATTTATTCAATGTATTCAATGTATTCAATGTATTCAATTTATTCAATTTATTCAATTTATTCAATTTATTCAATTTATTCAATTTATTCAATTTATTCAATTTATTCAATTTATTCAATTTATTTAATTTATTCAATTTATTCAATTTATTCAATTTATTTAATTTATTAAATTTATTCAATTTATTCAATTTTTTAAATTTATTTAATTTATTTAATTTATTCAATTTATTCAGCTTAATAAACGACTATAGTACCCCAACTTATTCATAGTCTTTTGCACTCACTTAAACGAACGTAGGTGCCAAACCAAACCAAATAAACATTTATAATACTCCAAACTTATCCGTAAAATACCTACAACATTTGCACTTGATCAATCCCCGCTAATTATTTAATTATTTTTTTCCCAACACCAAAACGAAGTAATAAAAAGTAAATTCTGTTCCACTAATGCAATGTTTTAAAAAGGGAAGTAATTGTGTTTTCATAATTTATCAATGGGAAGTAAGTGCTAAAGGACTAAATATAAATAATTTTCAGACATAATTAGAGTTTTTGTAAAAGATGATATTTTTTTTTAAATTGTGTTTAATGAACATGCCGACAATTATTACTATCAGTTTGAAAAATGAAAATTATTTCCCAACACTTTCAATAGTAATTTTTTAACTCATAAATGTAGACCATGAGCACTATAATAATCTAACACTTAAATCCATCAAAGTATCCACGACAAACTTATTACAAACATACATAATTGAGATTTATATATTAGATTCAAATACATCTGTTTCTTACGACTCCGTAAGCATTCATACATATTTTTTAAAATGTTTATTTAATTTAATATTCTGTAAAATAATTCCGCTTAAAACTTATAATGTATCCACTTATGTACAGAGAGTAGAATTAATGAGTTGACAGCTTTTCGATAGAATCAGAATTTTTTTAAAACAACAGGAGAGGCTGGGGAAATTAATTTTAATTAACATTTTGAGCAGACTAAAGGCGAAACCACCGAGCTGGTTGACACATGTGTCGTGATGTGTACAGATTATAAGCAACACAGAGCATATAAACTATAAATAATATATATATATATATATATATATATATATATATATATATATATATATATATATATATATATATATATATATATGTTAAGATATGGCACCTATCTTTGCTCTTTTCGCTCATCTACACAGAAATGCGCCTCTGCCCACCCCCTTCCTTTAAGACACATTCATTAGTATTATAGGATTCATGTTAAATATAACATTGTGAAAACAAAAAATTGAGGAAATTCCCATTGTGTTGCACTAAAACGTACAAGTGCGCTACAAGCCAAGTCTATAATAACGTTGCAGAATTTTTGAGCCACGAATATAGGCTAACACAAAATTTCAAAATTAAGAACGACCTTAAGAAAGTAATTAAAGGTATTCATACATTATGAAATAATCTTGCTAGTAAATGAAGTTTATCCGTTTAAACTGTCAATCTAACGGTTGTGGCATTGTATATTGTAAGGAAACAAAGAATTATCTAAATATAGTCTATCATTTTCCAGATCATTAGACTTAGAGTTAGATTAGAAGACTCGTACTTAGTGCAGGTTAATGGACATTATCGAGATGGAATCCTTCGATCATTATTGTTGACACGGATTTTTAAAAAATCGTGGGTTTTTTTTTTGGTTTTTTTTTTTTTTATAATTAACGCGACCGAAAAATAATCATAAAAAATAAACACTTAAGCCTGAAAATAATTCAGAAATTAAATATTTATACAATCAATGTTATAGAAGTTTTCTATTTGTTTTCACCAAGCCTAAGTCATAACATGAAGTTTCATTATCGCAAGGCAAACATTGATTGACGGTACAGGAACTCCGTGATCGAGATTCTGACTGCCTTAATAGCAAAGAAAATTAGCAAAAAGAAGAGCAAATTACATAAAAAACGAGATACTTTGCTGAATTTATTTTATTACATTCAACTCTTTTTAACCAGTTTGACTAAATTCTACTATGTTCTACCACATTCTATTACATTCTACTAAAGTCTATTACATTCTACTTTACTTTTACCTCTTTCACCCTATGTCACTTCACTTTATTCCTATATACACTGTTTTACTCCATGTGTTGTGTGATGTAGTGTGTGCTGTTTGTGTGGGCAGTGGTATGCATGGCATGGGATGAGTTCTTTGATGTGGAAGGCGGGCGTAGTAAGGTGAGGTGTGTGGGTACAATGTGGTAGACATTGAAATGTGGAATCGTAGGGTGTTTTAAGATGTAGTGTATGGGGTGGGATGTGTTTTTGTGTGGATCCGTGTTAATCGAAGTACATGACGAGGTATTTCGGTTATTGGTGGTGGTATGTGGTTTGGCTTGGTACGGTGTGTGGTTCGTGGTGTCATGCAAGTTGTGATGAGGTTTGATATTTACCTTTTTGTTATTCGCTTCTCCTATCTCATTTTTTTATGTGAAATTCAAATTTATTTTATAAATTAAAACAACATTATATAGCTTTGAGGTGTTTTTATTTGCCAATGTTTATGTTCTCCTAAAAATACCATTTAAATTTCACACCGTAGTAGAGCACGGGTATGCAGCTCGAATCTATAAAACCTTCTTTTTCACCCACAGTTGTTGCATCTCCGAATCCCCGACAAACTTTCAAATGTGTCTCGAAATTATCCTACAGTTACCTCTACTGCTGTATCAGCACTACTACTGGTTGTATTACAAGGCACCAGTTCCTTTAGTTCTAGAACTTCTCCACCAGAACAACTGCGGTGTTTCTAACTACAACGTTTCCCAGCTAATTATCAACGGCGTTGACGCTCCTAGGAACGCTTGGCCATGGCATGTGTTTGTGTGGTCAAAGGGAGGTATGTGTGGAGGGTCTATCATTGACCGAGAATGGATCTTGACAGCAGGGCATTGTTTGACTGGTGAAGACACATACGTGTTTTTGGGTGAGGTAGATTTTAAACATTTTAAAACCCCTTATCGAAATGTATCAGAACAACTTCTGCATGTAAAATACGACGACAATCCCTTACAATATGATATTGGTCTTCTAAAGCTTAAAACACCGATCGAGTTCTCAGACACCATCCGACCAGTCTGCTTGCCTGAAGGCAACATCTGGGACTCCTCGCCCTGTTTTGTCACCGGCTACGGACAAATGACCACAAACGATTCCGCACCGGACGAAATAAATCTCCCAACAAAACTTCAGCAGCTTCGCGTGGATATCATGAACCAAAGTTTGTGTATGGTAATTACCCGGATGTTTGACCCGCCCTATAATGATTACACCGTGTGTATTGATGCCCCTGAGAAGTCTGGCGTTTTCAAGGGAGATTCGGGCGGACCGCTGAGCTGCTTCAAAAACGGAAGATTTTACGTTGTGGGTTTGGCCAGTACTGCGCCATTGCCCGTGGGCATTTTTGACAGTTTTTTTCCTCCTATCTACATGTCTGTTCCTCATTTCATGGATTGGATTGGAAATTTCGTCAACTTCAAGGCTAAATAAATAAAATGTTCCCCCGATCTTATAAGTTGTAGTTCTAGTTCATTATTTACAATATTTTTTCGTTATTTTCAATTAGTTTAGTTCAATGCAGCGGAGTAAAAGAACACATTTGGAAAAAGGTATATAGAGTAACCAAATCAGTGAATTCGTTTGACTTAATAAATAAATAAACAATTTAACAATTATTTAATGTGTAAATTAATTATATTTATAAATTATTTAACATATAAGTGTGTCTGTGTTTGTGTGTCTGTTGGTCTGTGTCTGTAAACACGATAACTTGGGTACCATTTATGTTATGTTGAAGAAGATGCATATAATGGTATTTTATCAAATTTGTGGTTATGTATCAACTTCTGAACGATTTCTGGTAACCGGAAGTAGTACATACGTTTCTTGTTTCTCAAAAGCCAATAACTTGATTACTGCTTCAGTTAAGTAAACAAAATTTCACATATATGTAAAACATTTTATTCTCTTGGTTTTGTCGAATTTTGAGTTATTTCCGGTGACTGCGGGTAGTATTTTTAGCTATTTCTGATTTATCTAAAAATCATAAGGATTTAAGTAACTATAGAGTGTTCCTCATGGGCGTAAACTTACGAGCACTTTTACCAGACTGATTGATTGTAAACTTTTCTCGTAGGTCAAGACTCAAAGACAACGTATAGTGACATAAAATTTTACTAAATTAGATAAATAATTATGTTTCTAAAAACAAATTAATCAGTTCTTACTTTATCGTAAAAACCAAGTATAGAGAAAGACTTGTAATCGTGCAAAAAAAATCGAGATTTTAGCAAATTTCGACGTTTTGCAGCTCCCTGAGTAGGAAAAACAAGTAATCTGGTCCGTATGTCTGTGTGTGTGTATTTGTGTGTGGATGTGTGTCTCTGTGTGTGTCTGTAAACACGATAACTTGAGTACCGTTACAGCTAGGTTGATGAATTTTCATATATAGGCTTAATTATTATATCAAACTTGTAGATCTGTTTCAACTTTTAGGCGATTTCCGATAACTAGAAGTGGTACTTTTTCTACTTTCAATTTTTCAAAAGCCTATAACTTGAGTACTATTTCCGATAGATAAATTAAATTTAACATGTAAGTAAAGGATCTAAGTCTCTGCCTTCTGTCAAATTTTAAGTAATTTCCGTTGACCGAAAGTAGTAATTTACACTATTTCCAATTTCTAAAAAAACGCATGTGAATTTATAAAGTACTAATAATATTCCGCACTATTATACACAGATTTTTTGGCGTTTACTTGGTGCGCAATATTTTTTCTACGAGATTCTATTCTATTTTTAAAAGTTTAAGTAATTAAAAATGGATTAAAAATAATGTCTATATCCCGAGGTGCCATCCCCCGTTGTTTACAATGTATTTTTTTAAAACTACATTTGATTTTTTACAAAAATGTCACTGGACTATCAGGTTTCCACTAAAATTATTGCGTTTAAAGTCAAACACAAAATGAACGGTTTTGTTTTGATTCAAAATCTTTATTGTATATAAGTTTAGTTTTAAACCATAAAAATCATTTTTGAATCTAAGTGTAAAATATCGACACCGCTGATTATACCTAAGGGATGTCCACATGTATTTTTTTTGGTCACATCACCTGAAAATCAAATATAAATGGATTAGTTACGTTTTAAAATATTCTCAAATCAGCTTATTTTAAACAACTTTTTCGGAATAGATTGTACGAGCTATAATAGTTTTCTACTCGCGTACCCCGACCCAATGTCGTCATCGTGACAGGTGTTTACAGTAAGATGATTTTTACTTTCTCGTATATACGAAGTATAGAGAAAGTCTTGTAATCGTAAAAAAAAAAAATCGGAAAAACGCAGTTTTGCAATCTTGTCCGTGGTGGTTAGGGCACAATGTCAGTTCTAATAATATTCCGCACTATTATGCACATTTTGTTTGGCGTTCACTTGGTGTGCAATTCTTTTTTTTTTTTACGAAATTCTTTTCTATTATAAAAAGTTTAAGTAATTAAAAATAGATACAAAATATTGTCTATATCCTGAGTTGCCATCCCCGTAGTGTCATATTAGAATATTCGAGAAAGTTTATTAAAAAATGTTACACAAATTGTACAATGTACTTTAGTACAATCAGTTTCTGTTCTAAGTGCTAAAGTTTGTTTACTCAAAATCCATTGTAATTTTGCGATTTTAGTTACCATAAAGCCCCCCCCACCCCCTTTCCAGTGAACCATCTTAATAAAAGTCATTAACGTATTTTACGGTTAAACAATCGTACAATACGTTTTAATGCAATTGGTTGTTTTATAAATGGTAACGTTTATCTACTCATCAATCTAGTGTAAATTCTTCCGATTTTAGTCTTATAAAAGCGCCCCTTCCCCCCCCCCCCCCCCATCTAGGAAAAACTGGATTTGCCGGTCACTGTTTCTTAAGAGTATATGTTTTACAGTTAATAATCCCCCGAAACATTTTTTTTTCTTTATAGTTATTTCAATAGTGTATCTAATACTATAATGGGCCACGTTCGCACATCTCTCTCTCTCTCTCTCTCTCTCTCTGTCCGCAAAAAATTTTCGCCGGACATCACGTCAGAAACGGCAGCGATATATGGAGAACTTTATACGGACTTTTGTTGAAAATAATATGTTAGATGTTTTAAATGTATAACCACAATTTTATTTCAAGAAGAAAAATAAAACATCAAGGCGTATTCGAATATAGAGAAACAGTATTATTTATGCAACCGGAAAAGCATTAATAGATGTGTAAAAGAACACATAAAACTGTGACGACACTATTGCTTACTAATGACGTCATCTGCCGTATTTAGAATAAAAAAGAAATGAACTATTTCATTCAAATTTGATTTAGATCTACGTACACTATGAAATGTATACAATACAATTTTTCCGGCCTAAACTCATAACATTTATTTATACAAAATCTTTGTTTGGAACTGGCTAATTTGGGATAAAAAAAATTAATTTGAAAGAATAGGCATATTCGCGTAAGTTAAGATTTTAAAATACGTCTTTCATTCTCTGTATTTTATAAGGTGCCTAAATAGCGGAGATGTTAGTGTACTATAAACCACGCAGGTGGTGCGGGTTCGAGACCCACCAAGTCAACTTGGTTAATGTTTTTTTTTAAATTTTACTCGGACTAAACTTAAAAAAAAATTCAATTAGGATTCTAGATCTAGATCTAGATTGTCGGGTGTCCGATAAGGCACTTCCCGGCGCCGCAGGCGCTTCAAATTTGGCAGGATCTTGCCTTGGGGCGGCAGAGCACGGGGGCCGGTTGGCCGAAAAGTCTACGATGAAGGGGTCAAAACTGACCTCGACTGACCGGTACCTTATATGAGCTATAAATCGAAAAAAAATGTCCACGGAGGAACCTCTTCATAACTCTTGAGGTCGTAGACCGACCCTCGGGCGAATTAATTAAGCATTCAAATTCTCAATGTTTTCGAAAGCCTAAGCGAAGCTGGGCAGCATGCCTAGTTATTATATATTTAAAGAAAATATTTATTTTCTCCTTTTTAGTACGCTATTACATAAGAGCTTGTTAGTAAAACGTTTTATGCATTTTGAATGCATTTTTTTTTATAATTTAAAATTGTTAATACAATAGAGTTGCATTACTAAAATCAATTACTCACCAAATAACATGATAATGCGCATATAATAGTGCAGACTAGTAGTAGGACACCATACCAACTTTAGAAAATTTTAATTAATTAATTTATAAAAAATTAACTAGTCATCCAATTAAGTCAAATTTGATGTCAGTTTGTATTGTCATTGTGTTTTGACCAACGTGCAATGTTTTAGAAAAATTGGTAAGTTAGAAGTGGTCGAAATTTCGCTTGCCAATTTCGATCGATGACGGACGGGAGACAAAAGCACGACAGAGCACGTTAAATAAGATCTTGTAGAAATGTTGATAAATATAAACTTAAACAGCAGAATTTAGTATCGGAGTCGATTTTCTTTAAATGACATCCCCTACCAAAAAAAAAATTAAACAATGTTATTCACTTTACTATTATTAATATTTATCACTTTTGTTCTACCAGTCTAATATGAAAGATTATGTGACATTGGGCAATTAAGGTTTTATCATGTTTATGTGTAGGCACAATGAATAGAGAGTGTGTGTGTGTGTGAGAGAGAGAGAGAGTGGCCTCCACTTGAAAATGGTGTGCTAGGCAGAGCAAATGTGTGAACGCTATGGACGAGGAGAAATTTTGTGTGGTGGCAAAACAGTGTCATTTCTTGTCATTTCTTGTCATTACTTGTCATTTCTTGTCATTTCTTGTCATTTCTTGTCATTTCTTGTCATTTCTTGTGGTGAAAATGACATGTGAGTAGAATATATTCTGTTCGTTGCTTGTGTTCTATTTGATCTAGGTACGCCTGGCACAAGCCAAAATACATATTATTCCAAGTGTAACAATATATGAAATATTTTCTTATTGTTCTTTTTTCAAATACGCTAATACGTAGAAACTTAGTTGGATAAAATGCGCTGTCTACTAAGTATTGGTATAACTAAATGGTAATATGATAAGAAAGTATGAATAGGCAAATAATAATAATCAGATTTTTATAAGAAAAAATATCACTTTCTTCATCAAAGATGAAAACTAAGTTGCTTTTTATAAGGTTTCACCAAGGAAGCACGCTGCCCCCGCTTATATGATAGATAAAACGCATTGGCAACAAAAATATGACGTCTTAACTAACCAAAGAGTACGTTGCCAGCATTTGGTTTAAGCTAAATGGGTATGAGAAAATACATGAAAACAAGTGACCAAAATATTATGTACAACAAAGATCCTCAATTTTCCTACATAGGAATACGTTAATCTGTTAGTTGTTGTTTAGTCTGCATTTTGTTTTAAAAGCAAAAATTGTTCTTACCCAAACGGTTTATATTTCTCAAATGATTCTTCGATATTTTTCTGTGCCTCCTTCGCTTTTTCGCCAACATCCTTTGTAACGGATTGAGCCGCTTTCAAAGTTGTGTTCATGGCTTTTGTTATGGCTTCAACAGAGAGTTTCTTTATAAACCCAATAAGCTCATTGAGTGATTTGTCAAGGCTTGCTGTTAGTCCTGCGACCAGCTTATCTATCGCGTTGTTCGCAATTTCGGTAAATTTGTTCACGGGTATGATCTTTTTGTTCAATACTGATTCTATCAAATCAATTAGATCATTTGTTGTTGCACCTAAAAGTATAAATAAAAAATTATATATATATATATATATATATATATATATATATATATATATATATATATATATATATATATATATATAATTTAGCCTTATAACATTAACAAGTGCTGTAAGATAAGTATGTACGGAAGTGCTGCCGTGTAGTATTTGGTTTGTGCATGCGGTATTGTTTGCGTGCGTTGTTAGGTGAGTGGGTTGGTCTACCTATGTTTATGTACACTATACCTAACACAAACTAGCTACATTATAGGCCTACCATTCAAGAGCGGGCTTGACATAGCTAACGGCTCCAACACTCGAGAGAAGACCGGTGTGGTTATGTTGTATAAGATTTCATCAAGAAATCTTGACCAACGATCTGAGAATCTTAGGTGACCACATGTTACAACTGTGTAATAAAATAACAAGGTCTACATATAAAACATTATAATAGTATGTAACTAGGTAATTAATACGTTTTTTTTAAAAATATCACATAATTCAGTATTCAACAATACATTGCATTTGTTTAATTATATGTTTATGTATTTACTAGGCGTCCCGGCCAGGCCCTGCTCTGGCTTCTGTGAAAAACCTTTCAGTTAAGGACCATTACCTGTGTGTTTAGTAATAATCATAAACCCGGCACTGCCCACCCATACCACAACCAACCAAAACCAAAACAACAAAACGCAAACATAACGCTAACACAATTACAAATACAAACGAAACCAAAAACCTAACAACAAACCCAACCACAAAAACCAATACAAACACAAAGAAAAAACAAACAAAAAAGCAAACAAAAACCTAACAACAAACCCAACCACAACCACAAACACCAATACGAACACAAAGAAAAAAAAAACGAAAAGCAAACGAAAACAAACCAAATCCAAACGCAAAACCAACCACAAACACAAACACAAACCCAAAGAAAAAAAACACAAACGAAAAAGCAAACGAAAACAAACCAAATCCATACGCAAAACCAACCACAAACACAAATACAAACACAAACCCAAAGAAAAAAACACAATCGAAAACGAAAAAAGAAAGAACAAAAACGAACCAAATCAAAACGCAACCACTAACGCAAACTCAACCTAAACACAAAGAAAATACTAACGCGAACATAAACGCAAAGTGCTCATAGTCTAGCCCTGGGCAGAATCGCCAGTTTCAGCTTAATAATCGACTATAGTACCCCAACTTATTCATAGTCTTTTTGCACTCACTTAAACGAACGTAGGTGCCAAACCAAACCAAATGAACAATTATAATACTCCAAGCTTATTCGTAAAATACCTACAACATTTGCACTTGATCAATCCCCGCTAATTATGTAATTATTTTTTTCCCAACACCAAAACAAAGTAATAAAAATAAATTCTTTTCCACTAATGCAATGTTTTATAAAGGGAAGTAATTGTGCTTTCCTAATTTATCAAAGGGAAGTAAGTGCTAAATGACTAAATGTAAATAATTTTCAGACATAATTAGAATTTTTCGTTTTTTTTTTTTAAATTGTGTAATGAACATGCCGACAATTATTACTATCAGTTTGAAAAATGAAAATTATTTCCCAACACTTTCAATAGTAATTTTTTAACTCATAAATTTAGACTATGAGCACGATAATAGTGTAACACTTAAATCCATCAAAGTATGTCAACAACAAATAAACTTATTTTTACATACAGAATTGACCTTTATATATAAGATTCATTCTTTCATATATTTAATTACTTATTTATCTATTAGCCAATTTTTTTAAAAATTGTTTATTTATGTATTTATTTATTTTTAAATTGATTATTTAGTTATTTATTTTTTAAATTAGTTAATTAAGTTTAAGCAAAAAAAAATTGAACTAACCATTTTTTGAACTGTTAGCACTTGCAGCCATAACGACAGTTAACAACATGGTTGACAGGAGTAGAACTAGCAATTCTGTAAATAAAAAACAGTTGTTTTAGTTATGTCAGTTCGTTGGTGTTATTCTGTTTTGATTTTTGTCTATCGTCTGTCCGTCTGACTGTTAATCTTATAATCTGTCAATCTGTCTCTATAATATAAATCAGGATGTTTTAAAATCATTTCGAATTACTCCTCATGTTGTTATTTTTTCGCACTTGCTCCAACTGAAATCACAAACTCAATTAATGTATGGAAGTCAGGACATTTATAGTGTTCGTTTCAATTTCATTAGCTAAGACAAATAATCTTTGGATTGTGCAACATCTCATGCAGGTGTTCCTATAAGCTAATGAGAAATACAGCTCAAACGTTATTTGTAATCATGGCAGACACGATATATCAACAAAGCTTAATTAAAACAATCAATGCATCACGTTCATTCTTTACTTGGTGTTTTATATGTTAATGAAAACAACACAAACTGGATAACTATTGTTTGACGACCCGGTGACCCACAGGTGAATTCCGGATGACCCACACAGGACAGCCTGATGACCTGCACACAAGACCCTGGTGACCAATATGAAAAATATGAAACTTGGTTGCCATAATTGTTTTAAGATATGGAAAGTGCTTGAAGTGTATTTAAGTTAAATATTGCGGTTCTTAACCTCGACGAAATAGATTGGCTGTGAGGTAGAAGGCAGGCTTACCAACCCAAGTTTTTAGTTTTCTATATCAGGACCAGGGGCGTAGCGAGGGGGGGGGGGGCGGGGGGTGCGGACCGCACCGGGTGACACCATTTAGGGGGGTGACACCAAGGCAAAAAATAGCAAAATATATAGAGAAAAACTTGAGGGGGGGTGCAAATCGAAAGTTTGAGGGGGGGGGGGGTGCAAATCGAAAACTTGAAAGTTTGTCCCCGGGAAGGGTCGCAACGCCTCTGGGGGGGGGGGTGACACCCGACCTCGCTACGCCACTGATCAGGACTAGAGGCACCAACCAAAACTACTGGTAAAAAATGTCCTATTTTACCATTTTGACCATTTTGAAAATATTTAAACATTGTTTTATCTATAACTGTCCTCCCATTTTGACATTTGTTTCAAAACTTCTACTGGCAACATCGATTCAAAACGCAGGTAGAAAAAACCTGCTAGCCATCAAGCCTCCCTGTGTTCGCAGTCACCCAAACGGTGACGGGAGATAAACCCTGTACAAACACCTCTAAAGCCCCTGCCTGGGGTCCCCGTAGAGTTTTTAACTACATGCTGATAGACGACCTGCCGTATTGTCAACTCCCCTGTTGCTCCCTCCACTCATTTCCCCGCCCCCTCCCATTGTAAACCACTGACAATCAAAATAAAAGGTTAATAATTTGTCAATAATTTCTCTCAGAGTTTCTTCCAGGCAACTCTTCGGTAGAAAACATACTTTTACCAGTGTCCGCCCCCCCCCCCCCAGAAAATATCCGCCCCCCCCCCCCCCCCAGAAAATGTCCGCTTCCCCCCAGGAGAAAAAAGTCTGGAAGAAACGCTGATCTTTCTCTCTCTCTCTCTCTCTCTCTCTCTCTCTCTATATATATATATATATATATAAATGAAAGCATACAGCACGCCCTGGGGAGTGCTGAACGGTAGTGCAGGTAAACCCGTGCCCCGACAAATATGATCCAAGAAATATATAATGCAGACATTGTTTACATTTAAATAAAACCGTTTTATAAAACAAGGTCACGCGTCTAAGAATATAGAATTGTTAACGAATTGATGAAACCCTCATAAAATATTACGGCAGACTTTCTTCCGCAACGCGCGGGGATGGGCACGCTAGTTTGTAATAAAACAGATAGTGTTAGCTACCTGACAAGTTAAAGAATAATACATGTGTATTTATCTGTCAACAAGATTAATTTCACTTCGTTTCACAGGACCTATTGGAAAACGTGACTGTTTCCTATGGTTTTTTTTTCCAGATTTGGGCCTGATGCAATTTTAAAGAGTATTATCTAAAGATGAGCGCACATAGCAGACAAGCTGGGTTAGCCTGTCTCCCCCCCCCCCCCCCCACCACCACCCTTCGAAGCATAGACAACCGACAAAAGCTTTCCAGGCATCTCTGTTCTGAGCTAGTCTCTCCAACTGTCCCCAGGTGTATCCAATCTTCTTGGTGTCTTCTTCCAGGTCGTGTCTCCGGGGCTTTTGTTTTGGTCGGCCTCTTTTCCTTTTCTCCTAAGGAATCTAGGTTTGGGCCTGCTTTGTTATGCTGGAAACAGGCTTCCTGGGTGTGTGGCCAATCCATTTCCATTTTCTCTGGAGGATCTCTACATCAGCTGACAGTTGGTTTTTCCATTTCTGATGGTATTAAGTCAGTGGATTTGAAGGATCTTTCTGAGACATGTTTAAAAAAAGACAGTATTTGTGTTAGTGGCAGTTATTCACCATGTTTACGCTCCATGAAGTAAAATAACATGAAGATGTACCATAATTTATTAAGAGATTCGAGGTTGGTGACCATACTGATAATAAAACCCAAACATATGCTGTATTATAGAAACAGACCCTGCTTCCTCTACCAGGGTGACGAGTGTATCTTAGAACTAGACAGCTGTGTTGGTCAGTGGCGTAGGCAAGAGGGGGAGGGTTAGGGGGGGGGGTTATAACCCCTCCCATATATATATATATATATATATATATATATATATATATGTATATGTATATATATATGTATATGTATATATATATATATATATATATATATATATATATATATATATATATATATATATATATATGTATATATATATGTATATATATATATATATATATATATATATATATATATATATATATATATATATATATATATATATATATATATATATATATAGCCTATATAGGATTATATACTTATGGAAACATTTTTTAACCCCTCCCATGACCTCTTCCTGGCTACGCCACTGGTGTTGGTACAGCTCATATATATAATACTGACCATTCCCTCTCTTCCTCTAACTAGACTATATAATTACACCCTCCTCCCTACTCATAAACGTCCCCCCCACCGCCTATCTCTGTTCATCCCCTCTTACCTTCTTCCAGTTCCCTCTCACCATTTCCTCGCCTATCCCTCTCCCAGCCTACCTCTATCGATTCCCTCCCACCCTTTCCCCACCTACCTCGATCCATTCCCTCCCACCCTTTCCCCACCTACCTCGATCCATTCCCTCCCACCCTTTCCCCACCTACCTCTATACATTCCCTCCCACCCTTTCCCCACCTACCTCGATCCATTCCCTTCCACCCTTTCCCCACCTACCTCGATCCATTCCGTCCCACCCTTTCCCCACCTACCTCTATCCATTCCCTCCCACCCTTTCCCCACCTACCTTGATCCATTCCCTCCCACCCTTTCCCCACCTACCTCTATCCATTCCCTCCCACCCTTTCCCCACCTACCTCTATCCATTACCTCCCACCACTCCCCACCTACCTCTATCCATTCCCTCCCACCCTTTGCCCACCTACCTTGATCCATTCCCTCCCACCCTTTCCCCACCTACCTCTATCCATTCCCTCCCACCCTTTCCCCACCAACCTCTATCCATTCCCTCCCACCCTTTCCCCACCTACCTCTATCTATTCCCTTTCCCCACCTACCTCTATCCATTCCCTCCCACCCTTTCCCCACCTACCTCGATCCATTCCGTCCCACCCTTTCCCCACTTACCTTGATCCATTCCCTCCCACCCTTTCTCCACCTACCTCTATCCATTCCCTCCCACCCTTTCCCCACCTACCTCAATCCATTACCTCCCACCACTACCCACCTACCTCTATCCATTCCCTCCCACTTTTTCCCCACCTACCTCTATCCATTCCCTCCCACTTTTTCCCCACCTACCTCTATCCATTCCCTCCCACCCTTTCCTCACCTACCTCAATATATTCCCTTCCACCCTTTACCCACCTACCTCTATACATTCCCTCCCACCCTTTCCCCACCTACCTCTATCCATTCCCTCCCACCCTTTCCCCACCTACCTCTGTCCATTCCCTCCCACCCTTTCCCCACCTACCTCTATCCATTCCATCCCACCACTCGCTGCCCACTTCTATCCCCAAGGGCCACAACTCCACGAACAATGAAATCACCTGATGAATTGTCTTGTCAGTCCTACAGCAGTCTCAGTTCTCCGTTGATCTAAAAATAAACTTCCATTTCTGAGCGCCTCGTCTGTTTTAGCAGAAGACAACAATTAACTGTCCATAGTAATCTAGTTTTGTAGAAAAATAAAATTAATATGAATTTAACAGTTCATAGCAGCCTAGTTGTGTAGAGAAATAACGTTAATGTAAATTGTACGGCTAATAGTAGTCTAGTTTTGTTGAGAAAAAAATTTAACAGATCATAATTAGGCTATATTAATTAAACACATTATAGCAACATAACTTCTTGTATGTTTTAACAAATGCTGCTTCGACCTACGTCATAAAAAAATTGTAAAAAATTTACACCATTAGTATAAAATGCTCCAAAAGAATAAAAAAAATTCTTTAAATACACGATTCACCACGAATTCAATAATAAATGTCCGCACGGTAATAAATATTAAATTTTCTATTATATTCTAGTACTAAAGACCGTCAAGTAATTTTAATTCTCTCTCCTCAACCACCATCTGTGTTCTTCATGTGTCGATTAAATTATTTTTACGAACAATAAACTTTCAACCGATTAAATAATAATAGTAACATTACCCGCTCAACGTATGTTATGTAGTAAATAAACTTGACATGACGTGTGTGTGTGTGTATGTGTGTGTGTGTGCGTGTGTGTGTGTGTGTGAGTTGTGGCAAATATGCTCTAGCGAGTCATACCGCACATAAATATATATAGCCGCAGCTAAAGTGGAGACACCATGATAGACATTTAGAATCTATCATAACATGAGTGTGTGTGTGTATGTGTGTGTATGTGTGTGTATGTGTGTGAGTGTGAGGATAACAGAAGAGTGTATTGTGTTATGCAGGAGAGCTGGAGACACACTTGTAACATATGGGTTGTTTTTTGTATCTTGATTTTATTTTTAGAAATCCTTCCTATTTGTTCTTTATCTAGGGGCTGTATATTTCAGATGGAAGATTTATAGTTCATGTAATGCTCGGATATACAAACACACACACACACACACACACACACACACACACACACACACACACACACACACACACGTGCGCATTTAGAGACACTCATTGCAACGATTATATTTGATGGCAAGCACATACAAAACAAAC